CACACACACACACACACACACACACACACACACACACACACACACACACACACACACAGAAGCGCGCGCACACACAAATGCATGCACATTCACAGTGCAGCCATGTTAGATGAGTTATCATTCTGCCCTGCAGAACTTTAAAGTGCACACTTTTACAATGCATCTCTCTTTTTTTCTTGTTCTCTTTTTGATGGAGATAGAAGAGCAAAAGATGAAAAGCATATTTAATGTTTATGGTGGTGCTTGGCTGAACAGCCTTCACAGTGCAGAGACAATATTAAACAAGTTAATATTTAATGAACAACCTCTTTGTATGAGGGCGAAGTAGTGTGAGGCGCTAGTGTTGGCAAAGGAAAAACAAACTTGAAGCTCTTTCAGATGATTGTAGGGAGAAAAGGCTTTGTTTTAAGCACTTGTGTCTATGTTTACATCTGAGGCCAACAACATGGTGTTAGACTGCTCTTTATAAAGAGGGCCACAAGTAACACTTTTTAGAATAGTATATTTCAATGTCATATTAACTACTTCTAAAATGTAATGGTTATAATATTAAGATGACTGTATAGTTGGATGATCACTGTATAATRTAGGTAGCACAACTGTAAGCTTTGTTGGTTTAGCTAAACCAAAAAAATCACATTATGTGCTGTTTTGTTATCCTGAATGAAAATGCTTGAGTTTATAATTTTAGTTGCAAATGGAAAACTTGCAGTGGGAATGGATGCAGTTTACAATTTTATAAGATGAAAAATAAATATAATTTGTCAAAGTTAACCAAGCTCTTTTTCTAGTAAATATACGATGTGGTCAATTGTGAGTTTTTTATTTGGTCTTAAGCCTGCCCAGTTTGTCGGATTGTACAGCTTAATGTCAGCTTTTATAAATRTAGTATACAGTATATTATTTTTCATCAGTGTTGTATAGAGGATTTTTTCAGGCTATGTTATTGTAGTTTGTTACCTGTAACATGCTACCTGTCTTCAGATGAAATGGACACCAGAGGTTGGAAGTTGAAAAACATCATATTGGTTCACCTGTATGTGAGGAACATGGAAGACTTTGCTGTCCTTAATTCAGTCTACAAGAAACACTTTGATACAAATCCTCCAGCCAGGTAAAGGTGCAAACTGTTCAAACTTTCATTTACATAACCTTGTTTGTTTTTAGTGAATGTTTGAGTCGGTAATTGAAAGTTTTCTCTTGTATCTATGCAGGGTTTGTGTTCAGGCACCTCTCCCTGCCGGTCAGCTGCTGCAGATGGACTGTTTGCTCCATGACTGGCTTGAGCCTCCGGAGGAAGGCTGCTTCCACCAGAAGGAAGCCCTGCATGTCCAGAGCCTGTCCCACTGGGCCCCAGCTAACATAGGGCCGTACAGCCAGGCCCTCAGGGTAAGACCCACAAACTTCCAACAGGGAAACAGGTAGCCATGACAGATTAAATTCGCAGACAACAAAGGGACGTGTTTGCTTAAGTAATTGTATCATTTTTGAAGGGCTTCCATTTACTCCAGCTTTAACTATCGTCTGTTTTTAGATGTACTATTTTTAAACAAAACATATAACATTAATTTACTTTCATATTTGCAGATGATTTATTTAGTCGTAATCTTTGATCATTTTAGCCTTTAGCTATTTTATTTTAGAATAATGTTAATAGGCCCATACAGTTATTTACAGTTTATTTTATATTGTCATTTTTATTCATATTTTTGTCAGATTATTCCTGTACACATGTTATCATACATCA